TGTGGTTGTAGGAACGTCTTTTTATTCCATATTTTAAAGTTCAGTAGTAAAATTCAGTTTTCTTTGTCATCCATTTAGGGTGTATGTTAAAAGCACTATTGTATTCATGGTTTCAATTTTAACTTTGGCGTTTACAAACTATGGCTGACGTAGTTACATAGTATGGCTTACCTGAATATTGTCCTCCCTTTGACATCAATTCCGATTCCGTCTCCCGAGCGCCGAGTCTCCTGAGCGCCGAGTCTCCCGAGCACCGCGTCTCTCCAGCGCCGAGCGGGCTATCTGGCATAATTTGACAGTTTTGACAGCCGAATTGGAATTCACAAAAGCAACAAACTGCGGTAAATGGGTGTGCCCAATTGAGCATTTTTGACAATCAGCACTGGAATGGCGTTAATTTTACATACATACATCTCATTGAAGACATGATACGTTTCAAATTTTAAATTAACATTCAAATGAATATTTTGTAATTCAGCTTACCGAATTTCGTACTTTGAGATGCTCGTACTTATCTTGAATGATTAACCTTAGCCTAGCCTTTGCTGCTTCACAGATTAAACTCATTGATGCCATTTTAAAATAGAAGGTATTGACCCTCGTCACTGCTGCATTACTGAGCAGACCCTTTGGTAATTTATGGCCTCGGTGCTGGGGATACTCATTTGCCCTCGGCGCTCGGGAGACTCGGCGTTCGGGAGACTCGGCACTCGGGAGACTAGGCGTTCGGGAGACTCGGCACTCGGGAGACTAGGCGTTCGGGAGACTTGGCGCTCGGGAGACTAGGCGTTCGGGAGACTTGGCGCTCGGGAGACTCGGCACTCGGGAGACTAGGCGTTCGGGAGACTCGGCACTCGGGAGACTAGGCGTTCGGGAGACTCGGCACTCGGGAGACTAGGCGTTCGGGAGACTTGGCGCTCGGGAGACTCGGCACTCGGGAGACTAGGCGTTCGGGAGACTCGGCGTTCGGGAGACTTGGCGCTCGGGAGACTCGGCACTCGGGAGACTAGGCGTTCGGGAGACTCGGCACTCGGGAGACTAGGCGTTCGGGAGACTCGGCACTCGGGAGACTAGGCGTTCGGGAGACTCGGCACTCGGGAGACTAGGCGTTCGGGAGACTAGGCGTTCGGGAGACTTGGCGCTCGGGAGACTCGGCACTCGGGAGACTAGGCGTTCGGGAGACTCGGCACTCGGGAGACTAGGCGTTCGGGAGACTCGGCACTCGGGAGACTAGGCGTTCGGGAGACTCGGCACTCGGGAGACTAGGCGTTCGGGAGACTCGGCACTCGGGAGACTAGGCGTTCGGGAGACTAGGCGTTCGGGAGACTCGGCACTCGGGAGACTAGGTGTTCGGGAGACTCGGCACTCGGGAGACTAGGCGTTCGGGAGACTCGGCACTCGGGAGACTAGGCGTTCGGGAGACTCGGCACTCGGGAGACTAGGCGTTCGGGAGACTCGGCACTCGGGAGACTAGGCGTTCGGGAGACTCGGCACTCGGGAGACTAGGCGTTCGGGAGACTCGGCACTCGGGAGACTAGGCGTTCGGGAGACTCGGCACTCGGGAGACTAGGCGTTCGGGAGACTAGGCGTTCGGGAGACTCGGCACTCGGGAGACTAGGCGTTCGGGAGACTAGGCGTTCGGGAGACTTGGCGCTCGGGAGACGCCACGACCAATTCCGTCCACTGCTTGAAGAATGGTCTCTATCACATGTACAGCCATAGATGTATAATCTGTGGCAAAACATTGAGTCAGCTTAGCATCCGAAAAACATCGCCTAAAATGGAGCGCATACATGTCTTTAATTTACAATAGGAACCAAAAATGAATCTCATATCAAGGGTATAAGCTTTAACCTAGAAAAGGTTGTACAAGGTAGGTAAGGTTATTAAGCATTGTTAGCATGGTAAGATAAGCTTATTGTAGGTAAGGTTGTACAATAAGCTGTTTCAGCTGCAATGCAATCCCATGGTAACTTGTAAGCCTGACCCTCAGCAAAAAAATGTAATCGTCAATTGCGTGATTGTACTGTCGTTGTCCATATAAACACCATTTGATTTACATAAACAGTATAATCGGGTAAAAGCTACTTAAAAATCTGGTGTCTTACATTTTCTTTTCTAGCATCTTGAAGATACAATGTTTGAAGATGACCAATCCTGTTAGATAGCTATAAGAGGGGTATGTTTAATCTACGCCTTGGGTAAGTCTGACAACCTATAAATGTGGCAGTGGCATTCAATTTTTCAACTTAAATTTTAATAATTAAATGCTTTCACAATAATTATGTTTCAGTTTGATTTCGGCCTAAACTTTGGGCAGCCAACGGAATTGGAGCCAAATAAAAAGGTCAGTAACCTGCTTTTTGTTCAATATTAAAAGATGTATTTTTATTTAAATGTTGAATTTAAGAACTCTAGTCTCAATGCCACCTTTATACAGAGACTCAGTAAAGGTAAGTGTCGTCCTAGGTCTGAGCTATACTCTAAAAATATTTCTTAAGTTGGCCAACTTCAAGAACTAGGTTTCTAGCAATGTTGTGTCTTGTAGTGGCTAGTAAGCTGCGCTAGTTTCATAGTCTCCCATAGTAATTTTTTTAAGCCATTATCATTACATTTAGAATTACTCCATCAAATTTGCAAGTATTTTTGTAATTACATTTAATGAAATGAGCATGATTAATTATGTTATTCTCTATTTCAGTGGATTGAACGGTGCAAAAAGGATTGGGAAGTAAGTTAAATATTTATATTCTGTATATTTACCTCATTCTGTTCATAATTAAATCTCACCCAATCACTTCCTCATGGTTAAGTATTTATTAGTACATAAAAACACCTTTAAAAATATAACCATGCGAAAATACGATATAATATTCATGCAATCCCAAACAGTCGTTTTTAACTTTTAAATGATATAAAACTGATTCGACTCTAAACCTGTATTTACGTTAATTTTTGTGAAATGTATCATATTGTACAAACTGTATACGGAATCCATTTTATTTTCTTTACAGGTAACTCCAATTTAATTTAGTAAACCAATTCATTTCATTTCGTTCAATTGTACCTGTCCCATCTTAATATTGATCACACTTGTGATATTAACTTCATTATTTACGTACCTTTGACTATTAATACAACACAGTAACTTACTAATTATATCATAGTATTTAACCAAAACAGTTTCGGCTTCTACCATTTCAGTTACTGATAACTGAATAAAACTTTGCAATGGTTTATTTATAAATTGAAGTTTAATGCATATGTTGCGAAATATATTGCATTCCATTATTTCTGACACACGCAGATCCAAAAAAACTACTAATTAACCAACTTGATGTATATTAAACCAATTAAGTATTAGTAATACAACGTCAGGTTTTTTATTGGATTGATTAACTTAAATGAATGTGAAAAATGTACAACTAAAACTGTGATATCAAACGTTCGTTATCTACTTTTCTCAGTGTCCGGACCAAGTGTTTTTTATATCTCATCAGTCTTTCATTTGATTAGTCTGGGTTTAAAATAGTATAATTTCTGGGGGTTTGGGAAAAAGGCGTGCAAGTCTACATCAACTGTTAACAATGCGTTGGAACTTGTGGTGAAGCACTGGGTAGGTTGTAAGGCGTATTCTTTTGTTTCTATTTTCTTCTGTTTCTTTTGTTTCATTTATGTATAATGTTTATTTTTAGGAATCCATTTATCATCTTATGGATCGTAAAGTGAGTATTAAACAAAATTTTTGCAACTAAAACTTTGGAGAAGCTCCATTTATTGTACAATGTATATATTTTTATTATTTAATTATATATGAAACCAGCCACTATAGCTGCCTGGTTTTTCTTAATTGAGGGTGCAGTTTGGAATGCTTATATAACTCCGGCCAGGAGAGGTAGAAAATGAGGATGTTATCACTGAATTAATTCCTTAAATAACTTTGTTAAATTGTCTTGAAAAACTGATGTTTCATTGTTGCCGTTGACATTAGTGGTTATTCAAAATATTGAATTCTGTAAATAAACCAACTAAACCAAGTTTCCTGATCAATAAAACAAAGTGTGTGGCATCTCTATGTGAATTATAGTCAGCTGTGTAAGTGAAAAGGACTGTTATTAAGATTTAACAAAGCTGCTCCACACAATAACAATGCCAGACGTTGGAGTAACCGTAGGAACGGGATCGGTAGAAAACGGAAACCTTCAGTGAGCAAACCTGTATGCTTGGGTAACAAGTGAAAACGTAACATAGTCTGGCCTTAAGTCCAGATTTAACTCAATATGATTTTTCCTAAGGAGAAGCGTCATAAAAACCATTCACTCTTAAAGATATTTTTCAATTGAAGGAAAAGATTTATAAAACAGTATCATCGGTAACAAGATTCATATTGCACTGCGTAGGTGAAATTCACCGGTTAGATGTCTGCTGATTACTCAATAGTGTACATATTGGAAATTTGAATCTAACTGAATTTTGATCAGCTCCTGTGAAGGCCCTTTTCAACACGTCTGCGCAGTCTCTGGTGCTAGTTTGTACCTATCTAGCCTTTCAAATTGATGTGTGGAGTATCGGATGTTAGTAGAATTCGATAGACTTGTATTTTTTTATGGGATTTTAAATAAGAAAACGTAAAACGTTCATGTCAATAATTAAATTATAAGATATTGAGTATGTAACAGAGTCACTTGTACAAGATTTTTTTGTAATTTGCAATTTTGGAAAATGTGAGATACTATAATACAAATAATATTTATTATACGACTAAGTGATAAGAAATTATTATGATATGACAATTTAAAAGATTTTGATCAATTCCCTATGAAATTTTTAAGATTGTACTTATATTTAGAGATCTACGATTATCTATTTACAAGTCAGAATTTACAAAAGTCTTTTACCAGCTTAATTAATTTTTAGACTAATATACTATATAAAAGGAAATAATTATCTAATTAATATTGTTTTTCTTTCTTACAGAGGCTTTGTGTTGATTTATTACACAATACAGAGGTAAGTTGTTAAAACTAAAAAAAACTTGATAAAATGCGTTTATTATATTTATGTGCAATTATTTTATTAAGTTCAGGTCACTAAGCTATCATGCACTTATCAAGGGGATTTGGTGCCGTTGGCGGCCAACTTTTGATGCCCTGGGATGATCACAAACTGTATAAAATAATATGTAACTACAAATTAGTAATTTATAATATACATACTTAATATGCGAAGCGATATTAAGTATGTATCATCCATCAAAGTTGCGTCTGACATGCAAGGGTATTCACGCAAGCGCAACACACTCTCCAGAGAAAAAAAAAAAACAGAGACCATTCACATACAATCCGTCCACCGCCTGGAAACCACTCAGGACGGAGGCAAGGGGATGGGGAAGTTTGGCGAAGGAGTTTGAGATGGAATGGGAACTATGGACTTGAGAAGGAAATGGAGATGGGGACTGGACATTCAGCGGGGCCGCAGCCAAGGTGGACGTGTGAGAGGAGGATGGTATGACACTTGCAGGCAACTGGATCAGTGTACTCGGTGGAGCCGGAGCCGGGGAACACCCACTTGAGCCACAACCTCATCAACAGACTTTGCCTGAACTTCATTAGAAATTTCCGAAGAACGGGTGTCTTAAAAAATTTCAACTTTCTCTTTGACAGACTTTCCTGCCCGAATACTCTCCAAAATCCCTTCTAGCTCAAGGATTCTGGCCTCCACCCAACTCTTGTCTTCGTCCTGGATTTCAGGTTCCCTAAAACCACTAGACTAGACGCTTCCGCCAATGCGTGTTGTATTGTGTTGGGTGATGGCCGAACCCTTGGCTGAGCCTGTACGCAAACTGCTCCAAGTATTAATTTCCCCACTTAGCTCTTCCATCCTCTCTTTACATGCCTCCAGTTCCTCATTCAAACTGAGAGACTCAGCCCAAGCTTAGGGCATGCTTGCAATTTGTCTGAACTGTGCACGCAAAGTGCGTAAATCAGTTCCAGGAGTCTCCCACGGGATCGCACCTCGTACACCAGCTCCGGCTTCCTTAAATATTCTGGCACTATGGACGCCATACCGAGTCTCAACCAGTACTTGACTCAAGACAAAGAACAACAATTTTTTTACAAAAACAAAACACAGAAATTTAATTCCTAAGGCTTCTGGACGTTAATGCCTACGCACCTGATGGGACCACAAAGAAAAACCTGCCCATTCATACCGCATATACCGCAAGAAAAACAACAAATGACCCACGACCATACACACACACATACATACACAGGTACATACACTAGACAACACGTAACACTTGTGTGATGGGATGTACATGCAAACTTTTTTTGAGAGATGACCATGCTTTCGACACTCTTGCTCCCGATGGATGCAAGTCATTACCACAGATTCCACCCGGTGCCTCGGCCAAATGAAATGAAATGAAATGATATTTATTCGTCTATAAAGGGCGAGCTCCGAATGGAGGTTCAAGAACAACGCACTATTTGAGAGAAACGAGCTGTAATAATCAAATATCAAGAAACAACAATAAAACAACATTAACAACAATACATGAACAACTAAAAACTATCTATTCATTCTATTATTCACCAATCTAGCCAACTAACTTACAATTATTTCTTTAACCATTCAAATAGGCTGACGTCTAGAGAGCATTGAACTAAAATTTACCTTCAGCGAAAGTTTAAATACTAACAAAAAGTAACAATAACTATAAATTCTTTTAATAAAGTATTTCGAACTTGGTAACTATTAAATAAACTTTTAGGGGCTCCAATAATAATAACTGTAGAAAAGACTGATAAAATAGGCTAAGTAATTTAAGATAGAATTAAAAAAATAACAATTAATAAAACTTAGGCCTATAACAACAGTAACTTTAAATAGTCTCTATTTTTTTTTCTTTGTAGGTAAAATAAATAAATCTATAAAAATATAACAGGTAACAAATATCTGGTAACTTGCGGTACGTCGGTAACGTTCAATTCTGGGCGGACAGCACCGGAGGGGGGACGAAGCAGGACCGAGAGGTGGCCATAGTCTATGGTAAGCCAAGATGGAAAACCCTCTCCGTCAAGTATGAAGTGTCAGTCCACAACACTCCTCACGGGCCCCATCAAGGTGCCAGCGGAAACCTAGTTTAGTCCATTGCGTCGTAGGAACAAATCCCGAACCAAATCCCCGGGTTCGAATCCCGCTAGTGGCATTAACTTTTTGACTAAGATTTTTTCATTATCAGCAAGTTTGGTTGGTTTGTTTCGGTTATTACAGTTTAATTTTATTATTAAGTCATTATAACATTTTAATTGAGCAATTTCTATAAACAGAATTCGTGTTTAATACACTTTGATAATACACTTTAATAATACACTTTTTTATATTATTTCATTATCATCAAGTTTAGTTAGTTTGGTTAGGTTATGATAGTAATTTTATAATAAAAAATTATTATTTTATGAATAGAACTATTTTTGCGATCAGTAAACCTTCATTGCAAAAATGCTCTCTACTACAGCGCTGTTCACGGAGGAATTTTGAACTAATGCCTCAATCGTACCTCCCCTAAGTCAGACCCACTTACTCACTTGGCGGTGGGGGTAAGAAGAAGTTGACGCACAGATAACTTCACTGAGGGTCATTGTAACAGTAATCTAGGATTTCTATATACCTTTCTTTAAAGTCATGTGTCTCTGTGTTAATTCTAACTGTGAATAAAAGACAAGTACAAGAAAACTATTCTTTTATTTAACAGTCACACAAGTAACAAAAAGAAACACATGCTAGCATTTTTGCCTACTATACAAAAAACAAGTTCGACCGTTGATTATGAGTCATGACATTCGCCGGTGGAAATTAGTCACGGCTCAGGACAATGCAGTATTGAGCGGAGCTAGCATATTAATCCAATACTTTTCCAAGGTAAATTGTACATCTTAAACCAAAATTATGGCTTTAGCTGAACTCGTGGGTAGCTGTTTGTAACACTGTCTTGGCTGATTCGCGGACCAAGAATCAATCGTCTCGTACCTGCTATAAAGATAGGTCATAAATCAGTTTCGTTGGGGTAGGACCGAGTCGCGTCCAAAACCAGACGCTCCTCGGTCCGACCCGTGCACTCTTCTGTCCGTTTCCCGTCTGAACGAGGACACTGCTATCTAACCTCACAAATTAAGGGCACGTTTGAAGTAGTCAAAGTATATTTAAACCTGTGCTATATTGAAATATCTAGCTTACTGTAAAGGATTTAGTTACTGAACTTATAACTAGGGTTTGGGGATTTTTTATCTTATTGCATCAAGTTGTCATTAATAATTTTCTTATTATATCTATAATATCTTCTATTCATCTAAAGGTAAAAATTATGACTTTGTACCGGCGGATCAAAAACACATCATGAGCCAATCAGAGAGCTAATCACAACAGTAAAAAGGAGTAATATGGTAGTAGGCCTATATAATAATACAATAGTTAGTTTTGCAAAGACAAAGTTGAAGCTTCTAGGAATATAAAAGTATATTTAAGTAACAATTCATACATATTCTGTTTTGATTTGATCAAAAAAGTTACGTGAAATTCAAAAATTCAAAAATACTGTATGTTAAAAAATCTTTTTCAGGAAAAGGACAAAGAGCAATTGTTGGTGAGTCTAATCATTGCATCATTTAGTCTTAAGTTTACACATTTCTTCATAAACATGGGCTCTTTACAAGCTTAAGTCTTAATTCTACACATTTCTTCATAAACAGGAACTCCTTACATCCTTAGGTCTACACATTTCTTCGTAAACATGGACTCCTTACATCCTTTAGTCTTAAGTCTACACACCTCTTCGTAAACATTGACTCCTTACATCCTTTAGTCTTACGTCTACACACCTCTTCATAAACATGGACTCCTTACATCCTTTAGTCTTAAGTCTACACTCCTCTTCGTAAACATGGACTCCTTACATCCTTTAGTCTTAAGTCTACACATTTCTTCGTAAACATGGACTCCTTACACCTTTTAGTCTTAAGTCTACACACCTCTTCGTAAACATTGACTCCTTACATCCTTTAGTCTTACGTCTACACACCTCTTCATAAACATGGACTCCTTACATCCTTTAGTCTTAAGTCTACACTCCTCTTCGTAAACATGGACTCCTTACATCCTTTAGTCTTAAGTCTACACACCTCTTCGTAAACATGGACTCCTTACATCCTTTAGTCTTAAGTCTACACACCTCTTCGTAAACATTGACTCCTTACATCCTTTAGTCTTACGTCTACACACCTCTTCATAAACATGGACTCCTTACATCCTTTAGTCTTAAGTCTACACTCCTCTTCGTAAACATGGACTCCTTACATCCTTTAGTCTTAAGTCTACACATTTCTTCGTAAACATGGACTCCTTACACCTTTTAGTCTTAAGTCTACACACCTCTTCGTAAACATGGACTCCTTACATCTTTTAGTCTTAAGTCTACACACCTCTTCATAAACATGGACTCCTTACATCCTTTAGTCTTAAGTCTACACACCTTTTCATAAACATGGACTCCTTACAACCTTTATTTAATTTAAATATGTAAAGAGATATAGTGAGTTATAATACTGGTTACAATTTTGTTTTGTAAAGATTTAATGAAATGAGCATAATTATGTAAACATCTTTTTTCAGAAAGATCTCGGAGGCAATAGATATTGGAAAGTGAGTTAAATATTAATTTTTTATACATTACTTACATCTTTCTATTCAAACATTAACCTCACCCAACCAATTTCTAATAATTAACTTTATTCGATAGTTATATGGATGTAACCTCTCACCATTGTGGTCTTTATCACCACGCAAAATTTGAATGTGACTGCTTTTTTATGTACTACTAGCCGCTATACCCGTTCCTTGCAACGGGGTCAAGATGCGGAAGAGACAAAATTTTTGGTTCCTTGAAAATAATGGCAAGCAGCTTGAGAACGCTAAATAGAACAGTTCTTATGTACCCTAGACCTGCTTTATGTAGATAGACTTATATTAATTTACTATTAGAATTAACTGGCTACACAAACATAACTGTAAAAAATGCATCCATTGCATGTAGCAGAGCTTTTTGTTTCTGTTAAATACAAATTAGCTGTTGCCATAAATTTAAAAAATAATAGTGCAGCACCTTTTTGGTAAACCTATTAACTTCTTAATGCTATTGAACATCACAGAATGAAATTCTTTAGTTGAAACAGCTGTTAAGATTCTTTAATTCCATTAAAATATAAGTACTCATAAGGTTAACATGAGGAAACCCCAGAGCCACTGGGGCAGAGCCGATTGGACGGATAACGAAATTGATGGTGTATAAACCTATTCCATGAAATTCTACACGTACGTACCAAGTTTCGTGGCAATTGGTCCAACGGTGTCCGAGATCATAACGTTCAAACATAAAAACTTCCTTTTTAATAAATATTGATTAACATAATTTATAATGTTTTGGCGAAAAGGTGTGCAGTTCTCAATAACTGTAAATATTGCGTAACCTCAGAACATAGTGATGGACCTGATAAGTTAATGGAACTATTTGTTTTTTTTTTTCTTTATTTATGTTGCAATGTTTATTTTCAGATTCAAACGGAAAATGTGGCGTCAGAAGTGAGTACTGGTTAACTCTTTGGTTACTAAAACTTTGGGGACAGTTTGTAATAGAATCAGAATAAGAATTATTTATTTGTCATTGGACATTACAAAAAAATGCATTGACAATTGTCATGTATAAAGCATGGCTACAGTCAGGCTGAACATTACGAATAACATGTCTAATATGTTATGTTTTTAGGTGTCAGATCTGTGGATTACCAACAATATGGAATGAGATTTAACAATAAATACATTTTATAAATGAATATGATAATGTAACAAAGAATAAATTATATGAACCAACAACAATATACTGATAACAGAAATTAAGATAAAAATCTATAAAAATTAAAAATTGCAACGAATGTTGATGGACAATTAAAATATAAACAACAGTAGACAAGGCCCTGCTAACAAGTGATAGAAACAGTTATAGCAAACGTTGATAAACAATTAAAAGATTAACAACAACACAAACTAGGCACTAATAATGAGTCTAAAACTGAACTTCCTTTACGGCCATGAAATCGTCAATCGAAAAAAGGGTTTCTTAAGAGCCAGTCATAAATTAACTTAAGAATACAGATTGTCTACCTAGATAAAATTGAACAGTCTTACTCAATTTATTCAATACCTTATCGGACATAACAACATGATTTTTCAATGTTTTACTCAGCCTATTAAATGTTCTGTTTATCTGATAATTACTTCTTGTATTGTATGTAAGGACATGATTGTTAAAAATTCAAGTTGGTATAGTAATAATAATAATCTTTATTGTCATTCAGCAACATAAAATTGCAATAGACTACGTCAGAAGTCAGGACACAAATATGACATCATGCTCAAATCTAAATATCATCTTATGAAGCATTGAACATTTTGTTGCATAAACTGTACATACAGGCCTAAGTTTTAAATTTAAAATTCTAAGATTGAATGCTCTTACACAAGTTTATAAAAAACTTAAGTAAATAATACTTCAAAACCAAACAATTTGTAAATATTCAGGAAATGTTTAAAAAGATTTTTGGTCATGCAGGCTGCCTCCTAGTGGCGAATAGTATTAAGAGTTCAAAGTAATTATTTGTGTTTAAAAAATCGTCCACAGAAAAAAATGCTTCGTTAATTAGCCATCTTGATAATGTTGATTTGAAAAGGTTTATGTTATCAATTTCTCTAAATTGAATGGGAAGTTTATTGAAAAGTTGTAATTGTAAATATTTATGGCTTTTTGTAAATTTTGAAAGTCTAACTGGTGAGATGTGGAGGTTGTTTGACTGTCTAGTTTAGTGGTTATGTATCGAGTGACATTTAGTAAAATTTGTAATGTTTTGTTTTACAAAGACTAAATTATTAAAAATATACATACTTAAAAGTGTTATTATATTATTATTTATAAAGAAAGGTTTGCAGTTAACTTTATTTGGTATATCAAACATGATCCGCAGGGCTTTTTTGCCAAGTAAACACTCTGCTGGCCCCACACATATTTCCCCAGAGAATATTTCCTTATAATAAGTAAGTATGAAATAAACTATGGTAAACAGAAAGGAGTTGAGGAAAAATCCTTTCTACTCCATTGAGGAATATTATAAAGCAGATACCCAAAATATTTAAGGCCTAACTTGGTAAAGACCTGCCGCCAAACACACAACCCAAAATATGTAAATAGTGTACAGTTTTTAAATAATTTATATTTGTTGTACAGTCCTAAATATTAGTTTTTAAAGCATTACTGACTCCAATTATCCAGTGTCACTGGTCAAAGATGAAGGGAAGAAGTATGAAGTAAAGTAAGTGTGTCAATTGATACACGTTTTTTAGTTTTCGTAATAAAAAACAAAATCGTGACAACTTAGATATTTGATGTATACAGTATGTGTATGTATGTTTATCAATAATTAACGTTAGAAAAACCATTAAAACTACGGCATGGTTGGTCAAGCCAGTTAGTTGAGTAAAGAATAGGCACTGTTTTCCAAATATATTACATACAACTGACAAACTATATAGGTGACCATGATCCAGTTTAAGCTGCAATATTTAAATAATTTCAAAACTATGTTTCAGTCGGATTTCGACAAAAGGTTTAAAAGACATAAGGACAAAACCATTGCAGTTTACTTTGGGGGAGGTACGTTGAAAGAGGACCGACAAAATATTGTAAGTAACATGCTTTTTTGAAATTTATAAAAATTTATTTAGAACTATATTGAATTTTACAATTCTCTCTATATACTTTGGGGCTTAAAATAGATGTTTAAATCTTCCAGCTAATAATTTATTACCAAGTTATTCACGTATAATTTAATAATCACAAATAAGATAAAATAAGTTAAAGAGTTATTGTTGAATTTTATCACATGTTTAACATAATCGACCAATCACGATTGTATACAATAAACTATTAACAATTTAGATCGAGTACCAACTTACTTGAATAATGAACTAGGAGCTTCTAAAGCACGGCTTCATGGATGTGATAACGCAACTATTGTCTGATTTAAATGTTGACAAATCTATATTTGTAAGTAGCAAATGTATCACTTCTTCCCATTATCTAAAACTAAATAAAAACACATAATACATTTTCAGGTAAAAGCTGCGAGAATGTTTGCAAAACACAACATTCGAAATGGCATTTTCTTATATGTCGACGGGGAAACACTCAGTGAAGGATATAAAATTAAAAATAAACATCGAGGTACACTTTCGTTTGATTTTGAGGATAAGGTGAGCTTAGTTTATGGTCTATTGTAGTAACTTGTCTGTTTTAATAACAAAATTAGAACTGCTATAAAATTTAATGAATTGAGTTTTATGTTATGCGTATAGTGAGTGATTCCAGTCTTGGAATCAATTTAAACCACAAATACTGATCATGTACTAGTCTCAGAATCAATTAAAACCACAAATACTGAGCGTGTACTAGTCTCAGAATCAATTTAAACCACACATAATAGGCTTGTTCCAGTCTTGGGATCAATTTCAACCCCAAATACTGATCAATTACTAGTCTAAGAATAAATTTTAAACCACAAATACTGGGCGTGTACTAGTCTCAGAATCAATTTACACCCCAAATACTGATCAAGTAATAGTCTCGAAATCAATTTAAACCACAAATAATTGGCGTTTTCCGGTCTTGGAATCAATTTCAACCACAAATACTGATCATGTACTAGTCTCAGAATCAATTTAAACCCCAAATACTGAGCGTGTACTAGTCTCGGAATCAATTTAAACCACAAATACTGAGCGTGTACTAGTCTCGGAATCAATTTAAACCACAAATACTGATCAAGTACTAGTCTCAGAATCAATTTAAACCACACATAATAGGCGTGTTCCAGTCTTGGGATCAATTTCAATCCCAAATACTGATCAAGTACTAGTCTAAGAATAAATTTAAACCACAAATACTGGGCGTGTACTAGTCTCAGAATCAATTTACACCCCAAATACTGATCAAGTAATAGTCTCGAAATCAATTTAAACCACAAATAATTGGCGTTTTCCGGTCTTGGAATCAATTTCAACCACAAATACTGATCATGTACTAGTCTCAGAATCAATTTAAACCCCAAATACTGAGCGTGTACTAGTCTCGGAATCAATTTAAACCACAAATACTGAGCGTGTACTAGTCTCGGAATCAATTTAAACCACAAATACTGATCAAGTACTAGTCTCAGAATCAATTTAAACCACACATAATAGGCGTGTTCCAGTCTTGGGATCAATTTCAATCCCAAATACTGATCAAGTACTAGTCTAAGAATAAATTTAAACCACAAATACTGGGCGTGTACTAGTCTCAGAATCAATTTACACCCCAAATACTGATCAAGTAATAGTCTCGGAATCAATTTAAACCACAAATACTTGGCGTGTTCCGGTCTTGGAATCAATTTCAACCCCAAATACTGATCAATTGATAGTCTCGGAATCAATTTAAACCACAAATACTGATCATGTACTAGTCTCAGAATCAATTCAAACCACAAATACTGATCGATTGCTAGTCTTGGAATCAATTTAAACCTCAAAAACTGATTAAGTACTAGTCTCGGAATCAATTTAAACCCAAATACTGATCAATTGCTTGTCTCGGAATCAATTTAAACCGCAAATATTTGGCGTGTCCCAGTCTTGGAATCAATTTTAACCCCAAATACTGATCAATTGCTAGTCTCGGAATCAATTTAAACCACAAATACTGGGCGTGTTCCGGTCTTGGAATCAATTTAAACCCCAAATTCTGGCGCGTTCCAGCCTCGGACTCAATTTAAACCACAAATAAAATGTTAGATCTGGATTATTTACGATTGAGACTTACCTTTGGGAACAACTGATATTTTTCAGTTGATCACTAAACTGTATGTTTAACGTACTTACCTCTAATAATAATTGAAACTTATTTTACAGTTCCAGCGTATCACCATTACAAGCAAAGTAAGTAGATACTTACTATTATTGATTTTACTTATCTAATGGCTCCCTTAACTATGAAATGATTGATATTAACTAGGCCAAGTGTATTTCTTGCCAATCTGAATATTTCTTGTTAATTAGCTGCCAATAATATTACGTGCTTTGCTACGGGGTCAAAATGCGGCTGACAAATTCCGTAAAATGGGTTTTACATCTAGGATTTAATTCAGAAACAGAATGCAACTTTACCACCTATATCGACAAAAGTCTTTTTAGGTTAACTCAGGTCCTGAACAATTATTTAGGCTATCTGGGATTAGGTAAAATTGTTGTTTATGCACCAATGAAAATATTGTATGTAGACCAATATATATTTTTTGTTTTAAACGTGCTCTTAGTTATTAGTGCGTATTTTTGTATCAGTATTCTAAGTCAATTTCATCTTACAGTTAAGTGTACTGTAGTGTATAAAAGAAACATTTTTAATTGCGCCTAAAAGAGATACACATAGCCTAATTAGTACGATTTTAGTAAGGCCTCTTTACCTATTCTACAATGAGCCTAAAGAACAGAATACTCTTAAGAATGTTTAATTCCTATCTTTAGTTTATGATACACATAGCCATAATCATGAATTAAATATTTTATTGACAAATCACATACAAACAGTTGGTTTAATTCTGTAACTCTTATACACTCTTACCGCTGATTATACAAAAAACATCAACCCTCTTACCAATGGTATGGAAAAAAGAGTTACCTGCAAACGCCTATTTCAAAAATATTACTTTTCGTTAAATTTTAATAACGAGATAGCGAAACACAACCACTTAATCCCAACGTATAAAAAATTATATCATGCCCCAGTGAGGTTAAAATAAGAGTAAATAGTAAATAGTTTTCCAACATGAAAGCATGCAAGGAAACCAAAGATTGAAGAAACGTTCTCGTTTAAATCACAGGTTATTAAAGGCTTTAGTTGTAATATGTTGCAAAATGTAGACTTCTGCTTGTTTCAGTCCAAAATCAATGATAGATTTAGGTCTAATCGAACCACATGGTGAATAAATTTGTACAGTTTATTTATTTTATTTTATTTTACATTTCAACGGACAACTCCATTTTTTTCACTTTTGAACAATTTAATAAATGGTGTTTACCGTATGATAAATAAATAAATAACAATAAACAAATAAATAAACAATAAACAAATAAATAAACAATTTTAATTTGAATTTAAAAATAAATAAGCTATCACAATAGTTCCAATCCTGAGTATATTGTAATTTTACTACTGTTTCCACAAAAATTTATTTCAATAAAATTTGCATAAGCTTAAGTTCAAAATTTAAAATAAGAGGAACGGTTATAGAACGGTTACTTCCTATTTCAATGAATATTTTCTGTTATATGAACTATTCCCCATTAAATTGTTTTACAGTATATAAATGAGGATAAGTTTGAATCAGCTGCATATAATTGTGAAATGTAATTCATTTGACAGTTCTGCTTGTTTAAATTTTGTTCACACATGTTTTCCTATTGAGTTGCCATTTTGTAACAGGTGTTGTTCGACAAAAATGGAGGATAGCCTATGTATTTAAAAGAATTAATTGTAAGAAAGGGCATATAATGAATACTTGGGAAGAATTTTAGTTTATAAGTAAAAAATAAAAAATATAAATAAACTGATAAATGAGCAAATACATTTTGACTCCAGTTGTACAGTACTTATAAAAATGTATTGGCCGATGCTTCCTGTAGCCAATATGAAATAAGTATGGAGGCCATTCAATATTCGTGTCATTCGCCTATTGCGTCCGATGATGATTGGAGTGTCCAATCGAAATCGATCACCACTCATCTTTTATGTATATTTATTTACCGTCCTGTGAGTAACATTATAAGCATAAATATATATTTTAAGTGTTATAAGACGTTTCTTTTATTTACTTTCCGTAACTAAATGTACACAATTACCAACTTCACACACGTTGAATAGAGTGTAATACTAAACTGTTATTTGGGATTTCTAGGAGGAATATGATAAAAGACATGACACCTACAAAGGCAAGGAAATTTATATCATTTTCGATAGTCCCACGATAAAAACTGAAAAGACCTGTGTGAAAAATCGAATGAAAAAAGATGTTGTAAGTTACAATTCATAAATACTTAAAATTTTCAGAAGACTGTACCATAATGTTGGACTCCTGTTTGTTGCAAGCTGTATTGATGATTAACCTACATTGATTAGGAACCCAGTAATATTAAAATTAAATTGTTATGATCACTTTATATTAGATGTTATTTATATGATTTGTGGTCATTTAATAATAATTGTAAACTCATATCTTTTTTAATAGAAAATACTTATCTGGAAGTTTATTTCTTTAGTTAAAAATAATGGAATTCATTAAAAAATTCCATACGCACATTTCCAAATGTGTATACCTAAGCTTTGGGTAGTAATTTGAATTTTCTAGTGTATAGTATACAGTTTCACATTCTTATGATTATGCGACATTCTATTCATTTTATTTTGAATGTTTAAAATTATTCTGTATGACCAAATTGCCCATAAAATATTGGAACAAGCTGATGAAAAGTTGTTAATATCAGTCACTCTCATACTTACATCAAATTTTTTTTCCATGGTCACATTTTTCTACAAAACTCCAAACTCGAATTTACTATAGTATTTATAATGTATATTATTTTATAGGATTTGGTGCGCTCCTGGTATACGGACCAATACACTAAGGTCGTCTGGCTCGATGTAGATGTGGATCTCTTAGGTGAGGACTATGTAGCAGGTCTCTGTCCGAACAGAAAAACTCCATATTGCTACCCTATGATGTACCAGGAAGTATCTGGAAAGGTGGGTGTGAAAATATCTACTGGATCATCAATTATGGAACTGTCAAATCGGTTTTGTTTTTTCTATTAAAAAATTGAACTAATTTTGTTCTAACCTCCATACAACTTTAGGCGAGCATTCCAAATATGTGTCTAAAATTCATTGATTCGATTCATTCAGTTGGTTTTATTACTACCAATGTTATCATTTAGCCATATTTTGTCAAATATTACCTTTAACTACCTCCATGAATATTTTCTTTGTTGATCGGATATAGTAGCGAAAGATTTTTAATCTTCAGCAATATTAGAAAAGAAATGATCAATTCAGTTTCAACATGGAAGAATAATCTTAAAAATGGCCTCCGAACACGAAAACACCAAAATTAAAATAATATATAAACGCTGAAATGTCAAGTTCTAGGATATTTGTTCTAAAATACAGTATCACGTTTTTCTCATTTGGGGAGTTTTCCATAGCCTCTGGTTTGTGACCGAATTGAAAACCCCCTAACCTCTTCAACAGAAATAACCCATAACCCGGTCGATTATTATAAATGTTTTACCGTAGAATTTGATTATCCAGGAAATAATTCCGTTGAGTGGGATATGATGGAACATTTACCTTTATAAACACTCACAACTACTACTCGGATTTCCTCTTCTCCCAAGCGCCCCTAGATACAAAGTACACAATGTTCAAATATTTGTAGACCTGTTAAGACTCGTCAATCTTCCTAGTGTCCGTAATTCATGATTGCCACGATAAAACAGGTTTTATTTTTCCTGCATATCCATGGACTTTTTTGTACTTAAGTAATAGGTGCATTTGAGTACTATAGAAAATAGCACGTATTACCAAGTTAGTGGTTTGACATTAACAAATTCGTCCATTAATTTTCAGGTGACGGGAGTTATGGGTGGGTATCAGTCCTTTGTCGACTTTTGGCCGTGTGAAAAAAAATAAACAAAATTGCCTAGGAAGTTGGCATAGCAAGAAGACCTGTCTGAACCGTACAAGCATCTAAATAAAAACACACATTCGTATATTTTACATTTCTCTTTTTTACAGTTCCAAAAGACCTAAAAGTTTCGCAATAAAGCGAATTGGATTGAACAAACCTAGATGTACTCATGAATAATGGTTTATAATACATTAAACCTCTATTTATGCTTTTACCTAGAAAATCCATTCGAAGCAATCACACTGTATTCTTTGCTATAACCGTATGGTTCGTCTTTTTATAGTTAGTCAAGAATCTTATTATGATCTTATCTGATTGTATTTTGCAAATGGCATTGCCGTAGAAAATAAAAAATGAAAAATACAAAATGAAAATGAAAATGTATTGCAAATAATTACAAAATGTACATTTTGTATAGTGGTCATCAACACATGGATAGGATTAAGAGTTTCATTGATCCACAGCAATGAAATGTCCAGTGCATATCATATTATCAATCAATTATTGATGTGGGAACGCAACATACGTGCGAATTTTGACCCAAATAAATGTATGAGTTGATCTGTGTAGCTATAATTACTAATAGCAGCTAATTCATTAGTCAGGGTCATAAAAATTCAATGATCAGGATCACCTGGGTCCAGTTTCTAACCATAAAAAGCTACCAGGACCTACGAGATATAATTAAAACAGGGAGAAAATCCAGTCAGAACACTAAAAACAAATATCAAGGTCAGAAATTAAAAATTCACTAACCAATAAAAATAGTGATTAATGACCAGCAAAATTGTTCTTTTAGATATATCTTTAAATCAACAGAGTGTGTTTTTGCGGGCAAACGATTAAAAATGTTTATCCCAACAAATGTAAAACGTTTTTGGGACTTACTTGGCCTGACTTAGAGTAAATGTAAATAAAACAAAATAATTTATTATCCACAAAACATATATATAATGTATAGAGAATTCAAATTAAAATAAAACCAAGAGTGCAATCTAGAGACTTAGAAGAGGTAAAACATAGAAAGCTAACCCCAGAATAGACAATATGGTAACTTTAAACAACAATAATTATCTCTTGGTGTTCATACCTGCGATCAACTTTGTTCCCTCCCAAAATGTCTTCTTTCAAATTTAACAAGCCAAATCTCTTTTGATAAATAAGGTAGTTTTTAACCAGCCAATCCTTCAAAGCAATTTAGAATTTCGTGCCCTTAAAATCCTTAATTTTGTTGTTGTTGAAATTAATTGACTTTGTCAACAATGCCTTTTTCAATTTCCCTCACTAGGTTAAAGTGATCCTTGCGTTTCGTGTTGTACTAGTGGATTTGACTGTTTTTACTCGCGTGCTTTACATCATAATAAGTTGGTAAATGTATAGTTATAGTCCATAAAAAAAGGATATTCAATCCAACAAAAATATCTTTACAAGACTTTATATACCAGACCTTGGCTAAAAGTCTGATTTCTCTTTTCTTGAGAACATAAATTACATTCGAGAGGTATGTCTATTCCATGGAAGCCCCTGGTCTTACAAACATACCACACGTAGATCTGCATCCCTAGTCTAATAACACGTTGGACAACAGGTGGCTGTGTGTCTAATCAATGCTTGTCAGTGTGCGTGTGAGAGTCGGGGCAACAACACAACCCTGGTTGACAATGGACAGGTGATCGAAGCGATCAGCTGATGCGATGAGTTTCACCGCGTGATTGATTGCTATTCTGCAATCAGCTGATTTAACAACAATCGTCCCTGTCTGTGTCTGTTCTTCGCCGCCCGCTAGGTCGCGTCCCCGTCGCACTTGTTCTCATTCTCCTCTCTCTGTTCTTTATTTATAACTTTTCTCATTCTTGTATTCAAATATATAAAATTGTTTTGTATTTCATGGAGATATACAAACTGTATGGATCATAAACAAACAAATTACGTAATTGTCCCTTGTCTTAGATTAATCTTTTTAGACTTCAACATTTGATTTTTTCCAAAATCAATTTAAGTAATAATATGAAATATGGTTACATTCAAGCCAATGGCGTAATGTGTTTATGTTTATTATCCATGCCGTTTCTTTTATAATATCCGTGTTGCATTTTTTATGTTCAGAATTCGGTGTTGTGAACAGTGTATAAAACATAATAACTTTGTATCCTATTTTTAAATAACGAAAATTGGATTCTATATGTATATTGGAGTCACAGTATTGTAAAGTTAGATTGTTCAATTTTAACGCTAGAAAGAAACATTTCTCGATAAAATTGACGTAGGTATTTACAAACATTCAAACGTTCTGGATGATCAAAAACTTGTTTATTCCATACTTTTCTTTTGAAACACCCTCTTTTATTTCTTTTTTTCTTTTCGTTTGAGGATATTAACACCCAAAATTTATGACTATGTACCCTTGTAAAAAAGAAACTGTACAGCCTACTTTTGTGATATTGCTGTCTTCCATTGCGCAAACAGTAACATTTCACAACATTTCTCCTCAAATTGAGTTATTCTTGCTCTCACAATGTAATATTGACATCATAATGTGTTAAAAATAATTTTAACATTTTTAAAAAAGAGCTTAGTAAACTATGAATGTTACCTTACGCGATTTTTAGTAACAATGGAATTTAACATGTTATAAACCAATAACATTTCATGTATTACAATGTATCGTAACTAAATTTCAAAATCGCCTACTTCAAAACTAAATGGTTAATTTGTGTTTTCGGGAAACATTCAAGTTGGTCATAATCTAACAAACACATATTACAAATATTTCAAGCCTATAAACATGAATGAGAATTTTCGTGGGAAACCTCTGTAATCGTTTTGCCATTAAAGGGATCGGCAAGCCAATGTTGCAGATGGGTTTTAAATGTTAATCAATTCGGTAACCTAAATTAAAGAACGGAGAAGAGTCGGACGATATTTGCGCGCGTTTATCATAAAGATACGATTAAACGGATCATCAAACGACTCCGACTGAATTTGCACACAAACGGCTGCGGTGAAAAATGGCGTGCAAAATATTAGGAAAGGACGATTTCTCTTTCGAATTGAACCGCGGATGATTTATTCGACAAATGTCATGGAATAATTGAGTTTGTTTTGAAGAGAATCGTTTACTATAAGTTGATGGTCAATGGTGTCCTGCTATATTGAAGCGTGTAGTTAATAATTTGTGCGTACAGGGTGTCCCACGAAAGGCGTCTCAAATTTATTACGGAAAACGGCATAACGTGCAAGCTGCAAGCATGAAATAAAATAACTTTCCACTTAATTTACCCCAAGGAATAACGTAAACATATTTTTACGATACAGGGTGTGCCAAAAACTGAGGGACACTAGTTCGAATCTCGGAATTTTCAAATTTAAACATATGTCATGTTATACATAATTTTAAAGGTATTTAATAGACAAACATTTTGGTGGAAATAGAAATTAATTATCTTTTTCTGTTTAAAAATAGCGGCAGTTTTTGTTATCAATATTTTTTTAATACTATGTGCTTCCTATACCAATGCACTTAGCCCTTCTCCGGTTAAACTTTCTTACTTGTTATGAAATTAGCTTCGCAAAAAAATTGCCGACTTTTTAAACGGAAAAAGATAACTGATTTCTGTTTTCGCCAAAATGTTTGTCTACTAAATACCTTTAAAACGATGTATGACATGATACATGTTTACATTTGAAAATTCCGAGATTTGAACTAGTGACCCTGCGAAATTTTAGGGAGACATTTTAGTGTAAATCCAATTAGGCAAATAGAAATTCTCTTAATCTGCAGGTTTCCTGCGGCGGGGGTATTTTTAATACATAGAAGTAATTATGTTAGGATATGTAGGTAAAAAATCCCTGATCAGGGAAATATATGCTCCGTTGGTATACTCGCTGAGCTCTATTCGGTTATCTAATCGATTCTCGTTCGATGTGTCGATTCGTGACGTCAACCGGTCCGCCCTGTAATTTCGTGCAGATCCCACGGCCCAGCGCTTTAGCAGGTTACGTTTACACACTTCCGCAACTCTAATTATCCGATTTCCCCGAGTGAAATTCAAACCTACCCTCCCAATTACTGGCACTTCCGAAAATCTACTTTTTGACACCAGCGCGCCCCGTGAGAACGCCCGACAGTGCCGCCGTTGCACGATTTCTATTAACTACTTTAAACGAATTTGTATTTTTCTCCATCGTGGATCGTGCTTCCTAAGGTTCAATGTCAACTCTCGTGACAATTGTGAGAAATGAGATTGAGGAAAAGACACGAACAATCCTAAATATAATAGTGGTTTATACAGGAGTGATTCTTGTCTGTCTTGGCTACCGGTTTAATGTTGTTATCCTTATAATCACCTGTAGAGTACAGGGTGTCCCGTAATTCCGTACACATGTTTATAGCGTTATTGCTTAGGTTACAAACACGTTTCACCATAGAAACATGGGTCTACTGGTGCCCAGTTTGCTGTGTCTGTATTTATGTGTGCTTTACAAAGAAATTAATGACTCCTAAACGGTTTGAGATACACCGTTGAGATTTTGCAAAATTGTTTATCTTATTAAGACCTATTTTTGTTTAAAATTATACTAAAAAATTACCAAACGTTTCAAAATGGGTCATTTAAAATATTTGATGCCAAATTTCACTAATACCAACTTTACAAAAAGATTTGCATGAGACAAAAAAGCTAGTAAATTTTATTTAGTTTTCAATGATATCTTATTTGTTAAGAATGGATTAACAATAACAGAGAAATCTGTTATTTTCGTAATGTATGACCACTTTTCTCCATTTAAACAATGCTAATACTCCTTTTACATTGTCTAAATATCTTTACAATCATCTGTGGTACGTCGAATCAGGAGTTTAAAACATATTTCATATTAATCAATGGTTACACACCATTAAATATTCTACAAGCCCTGTGCATAATAGGTCTATGTATATTTTACCTACGTAAATAACATATGCCTAACATGGCGGAGTTCCTTTGAAGTTTCCATTCCCATAAGGTCACCAGATCGTCGCTTTTACTGCATCTCCCTTG